CTACTTAAGTTGACACTCTATTTGGAAAGATCAAATATGCTATTTGAATTGACATAACCAAGGTATACGAACCCAAAGACATCAACAAATACAACTGTGCATGCATGATGCAAGTATGAACGAAAGAATGAATGCCATGTATGTGCTGACAAAACAAATAGACAAGATAAACTGGAGATGATAAGACATCATAGCACAACCCAACACTCGGCTAATCTCAACAGGATGGGAACATTACTGGAGATAAAACACAGGCCATCATTGGAGCAAGGTCCTTTTACAAGGCTTAAATATCTCTGGAGAGGAAGATATTTTCAAGTAGAAAACCCAAAGTCCAGTCTTCTATTGCAAACAATCCATTGAAAGGATAACAACACGAACAATGCTTCAGCTGGAGATACTGGGAACACCACCCTCTGATAATGTATGAAAAACATATCTTAACAAATCTGGATTGCCCCTGGAATTAATTTTGGATGCCCCAAGTTTACTGCTGATAAGCTGCGTGATGCACGACGATTCTTGCGAATAGCTTCACCTCTAAAATGCCCCGAGCTATATGGTTGATGAGGAGAAATCGTCTCAAGAGGATTTTACAAAAGACTTGGCATTCACCATGCTCTGGTGTCTTCAAACTCTTGGAGATATTCATCAAATCTCTACGTGATTGCCCCGGATTGACTGTAGTCGGCACAACAAAGTCTTCGAATTTTTGCCCCAAACGAACAAACAAGTTGGGAAAAGCATTAACTGGGAGAAGCAACATGTTCGTGCTTACGGTCTTCAGGTGACATGCCCCTGGGTATGATTTTTCTTGACGTGATCCGCTAATTATTCAACATAGTTTCAAGCCTTAAAAGAATAAACTAATCATTGGTGCTTATGTGAGCTTCCTTGATATCAAACAGATGTTTTGCAGTTAGAAAAAGTTTACAATGAGAATGAAAATTCTAATGCAACAGTTATGCAAGTCTTGAAGATTTTGAAAGATATCGCACAAATTTTGCGAGTTAAAGCACCATTTATTTTTGTACAGGAAAAACATATGATACCAACATAACTATTTAGAACATTCATGGGAGTCAGGAACACTATCTCATTGAAGTATGCTTTCAAAATAACCTTGCTTCAATTAGGACTTTTGAAGGTTGTAACGTGGTCTGGTTCATGGTTTTTAGAAAAAAGATTTTAAGGCTCAAAATATTTGGTGCCCACCCCCTTCATGATGTTCTTCAACCTTATGTTCAGTTAATTCAACATGAGTGTTCATCTCTCAAAAGGATTTTGTGACGGTCAAGGAAACGACGAGGCTTTCGGAGTAGAAACCACCCTCATGTCTTCGTGTTTGTAGTCACCAATTTGTTCTTTGCTGAGGACTTTTCTTTGCAGTCCTTTTCTTTACAATTTTTATTTTCCCTAACTTTTGCCTGAAATAATTCTTTTGAATTGATAGTCCAGCGGGATGCCTTAATTTTGCCTAAGTCACACGTTTTCATGTTTTTTGACTTAGCAGGCTTTTTCTTTTTCTCGATTTTTTGACTTTTTGAACAAAATGTGTGACATTAGCTTGTATTTGCTTGTTGAGAAGATTGTAATTGCCTCGTTTCTTGATGAATGAGGGATAACATTGTAGTTCCACATCCTCTAGATTCATTATACATGAATGATAGCCCTCGTAGTTTCTCTTCAAAAAACATCTTCATTATGAATTTTGAACACTCAGTCAGATTAACTAAAAACTACCCTGCCCCAGGTTAAAATTCAAGGTTTTTTCGTATAGAAAAGAAACTTCTGCTTCAAAGGCTCAAAAGGGGTTAGCAATGGATTATCTTCCTTATATCTCTGGTGTTTAGGGATTTGAAACAATGCCTGTACATCATCAGCAAGATTTTATCCAAAAGCATGCAACCAAAGATTTTGTGTTCTTTAGATCATCATCCTCCCTTCAATCTCTGCCTAGGCAAGAGAATGAGCAACAATTTGGTATCATAGTGCAAAAGCAATTTAAAATTTGAAAACAAATATGAGTGAAACGAATGAATTTCTTCAAGACAAACATACCCATTGTATTAAGATAATCATTCAGATGCAAACAAGTTCTTACATGCAAACAATGTTTTGATAAACAAGAAAAATTACAAAGAGCAGAAATAAGTTAATAATCTGGGAAGGCTTTCCATCTGGACTTGAATCACCGAAAACATCCTTCAAAAATCAAAGTCACCATCAATCGTGTTTACTCTTCGGCGCATGGTTGATTTGAACTTCAAAACCAACGTCCTTGAATGACAAGATACCACTTCTGACCAACTTCTGAACCTCAATCTTCAAAGCAAAGCAACCCTCCAAGTCATGCCCAGGAGCACCTTGATGAAAGGTACAAGCCAAATCAGCTTTGTAGTACCAATGTATCTTCTCAGGAACATTCGGTGGAGGTCGGGTCTGAACCAAATTCCTCTGCATCAAGATAGGGAACAACTCTGTATAGGTGATTGGCATTGGATCAAATTGAGTTTTCCTCTGATTAGGAACTTGCTGATTCTGTTGATGAATAGGAGAAACGTGATAATTCTAACGATGATTATTTCTTCCTATGGTTCTCTTCTTGGAAAATTTATTATCAAACTTCTTCACACCATTAGCTGAGCTACCATCTTCATATGAACATCCCTTCCCAACGTCTTCTTCTAGACGCACTCCCACATTCACCTTGTCAGGAAAGTCATTAGGTGCATTAACCATCACCTTCTCATGAGAGAATGATTTTAGAGTTTCAGTGAAGACTTTTATCATCGCTTCCTCCCTCCTAGAAGGATTGACTTGGGCGGCAACCAGAATTTCGACCAAACCAGTTAAGTGCTCCACACTAGCTTTCAAATTAGTCATCTCTCTACGGAGTTCAGAAACCTATTGCTTGATATTCTCCATTGTCCTCTTAGCGCGAGTGTTGTACTAGTAAGACCAAAGGAAAAAAATAAGACTTGGAAAAAGACCTTTGAAAGTGAAACAAAAAACATAGAGTGATGCATGATATGCAAAAGAGTGTTTTTATCTGACTTTCAAGGAGCTCAAGATATTAAGTTGTAAACATCAAAGTATGAAGATAGAAGATGAATTTTAAATTGGCTCCAAACATTGATCAAGTTATCATCAAGATCAATCATCCATTTTGGTGGATTAGGGTTTTCTCCCTATCAACACCCAAGATCCATTGAGCTTGACGAAACTTGTGATGTTTACAAAGAAAGACTTCCAAATTCCTTCAAAGTCAAGTGAAAAGGGTTTTATGGATGCATGAATGCATGGCTATGCAACAACCACAAGCAAGGTCACAGATAAAGTCGAAAGGTTCAACGTCACGAGCATGGAGTCAAAGGTAAAGAACATCCCCAAGGTATGTACTAACGGTTTAATCACACCTGCAAGACAAGGTTCTAAGAGTTCTCGGAGTCTACATTCCTCCTTCGGATATTACCAACGTCTTGATTACTCAATAATCAGTAATATTCTCAAGAGAAACTCATCCGAGCGTAGCATCGCGTAACAATTACTTCCGGATTACTCCGTTATAATCTCCGCGCTACACCTAAAAGGCCAAGATGGGTTAGGGTTCTACGGTTCCCAGCTTCTCTGGCTCCCAGGTCGAAAATAATAATGTCTTCCCGATTACTCGGTAAACAAATATTACGTTCAAAAGGGCCTTCCACTGAGTGGGGGATCTCATGCCTCCTTCTTCGGGATTACTCCCTCAAAGTTAACATGACTATACCGCCCGTCCTATTCCTAAGTGTAACTTAGTCCGGGTATAGGACTTGTCCTTTGCAAAAACTCAAATAACCACAATATATCACAATTAATCAAACAAACAAGTAATAATAACAAAAATAAATATGACAAATTAGGCTTAACCCACCTTAGGGATGGACCAGCAAGAGGTCAATCTTTCCCCAGCAGAGTCGCCATTTCTGTAGCGGTGAAAATCGGAGATCAAACTATTAATTAACTTGACTCACAAAAGCAAGAGTCGCCACCGCGCTTTATTATTTCCAAGGGAAAAGGGAAAAGAGCGAAATAAAACCCTAAAACATGCAATGGAAAATAATGAAAATACAATGCATTTTTTTGAAAAGAGATCGAGAGTTCGGGGGTTAGTTATACAATGGGAAGGTATTAGCACCCAATGCATCTGCGGTACTCCGCAGGAACCTTTTGAAATATCTGTTTTTTTGTTAAAATTGTTCGTTTGATTAAAATGGTTCGTTTGGCTAAAAATCGGTGTTGGAGAGATTTTGAAGATACGACGACCTAGTGTCGAAGTTTTGACTTTAAAAGGTGTGAGTTTAAAAATAGAGTCTTTTGGGAGAATTATCTTAAGTTTGGAAAAATAATAAATAAGCAAAAAATGGATGAGGGTATTCGCACAATCGTATGAGATGTATTTAATGACGTGAAGTCAACAGAGTTAAAACATTTCCCTTGGATTAGACGCAAAAAAAGAAAAAAATATAAAGATTAAATAATCGAAAAGAAATTAAACAACTAACAATTAATCAAAAATAAAAGAAAGACAATTGTAATATAATTTTTATGGCGTAAACAAAATATAAAGATCGAATAATTGAAAAAAAAGGAAATTAAATAACTAACATTTAGTCAAAATAAAAGAAAGACAATTCTAATATAATTTTTATGACATTTTTTTTAGGTGAAAAATAATTATAAACCTATACTATTTTTGTATTTTTTCTGATTTTTTACTAACAACTAAAATTAACTAATTCAATAAATAAAAATCTAATAAAACTAAATTAAATAAATAAAAGTAATTAGATAAAACAAAACAAAAAAATCCAAACAACACTAAATGATTTTGTGAAAGCTAAATAAAAGAATTTTTTTGGTAATTTAAGTTTTTTATTGTTTTTTTTCATTATTTTGATAACTAAAAAGGACATGTTCTTTTGTTTATCAATGTGAAATTATTTAAATAAATAGGACACCTAATTAAAACTAACCTGAGTGGCATTCTCTTTGACCTCTTCAACAGCATAGTAAGCTTTAGTAGGAATTCCCAGCTCCTTAGGTTCGACATCAATTATAACCAAAACAGGATTTGGAACATAGTCATTGAATAAACCATGAATGTCAAGATCATTTTCTTTCAACTTCGTTCCAGTACTATACCACCCTACAACATGCTCCTTAGCATTGATTCTCTTAAACATGGAGAACATTGATTCATGATAATTATGATCGAGAAACCAAATGCTAGGATCTTTTTCATCTTCTTCAAAAGGCACGGCGTAGCTGTTGGTGTTGTTGGTGTAGTTGTGTCCTATGGATTTGTAAGGTAGATGAAGGTGAGATACGATGAAGGGCAACGTCGGACGGTTCACGGAGACAGGCGGAGGGAGCGGTTGACATAGAGGTTTATGGTGGTTGCTTGAAACGGTACAGAGGTTGGGTTACAGTGAGATGATGGAATGGGTTGTTGTCGTTCACGGCAGCGCGGATCTACGGAAGAGTTCCAAGGTTGGAGCACTGAACACATTAGCTGCAGTTCGTTCTGTTTTATATGGTGATATGTGGATGACCTTTATCATATGCAAGTTGTATAGGAGTGAATCCAACATTGTCCTTCACCATCAATTCTTCCTTTGTTCCAGCATGCACAAGCACAGCACACGCCTCTGAATGTCCCCTCAATGCTGCCCAATGCAACGGGGTACAACCATCTTTATCTTGTCTTCCTTGACTCGCATCTCTAAATAGAAGAAATCTTATTGTATCAGCATATCCCTTATATGCAGCCCAATGTAGAGGGCTCCTTCCATCATTATCGGGCACATCAAAATCAGCATGGTATTTTACAACAACGTGATTTAAGAAAGCTGTTTGTCCATACTGTGCAGCAACATGAACTGCCCAGTATCCATTGATATCAGCAGCTCCAACCCGAGCACCATTCTCCAAGAGCACATCAGCAGCTGCAACTGAACCACGAACTGCTGCCCAATGTAAAGCAGTTTGTTGCATGTTGTCTTTAGCATTGACATCACCACCGTGCTGAATGAGATAGTGAGTAATTTCATGGAAGTTATTGAGAGAAACCCATTGAAGAGCATAATAGCCATTAACATCGGGAACAGAAACTGACGCAGCGTCTTGTTCAACGAAAAAAAACTCAACTTCTGAAAGTCGCCATGAGAAGAGGCAGTGAAGACGTCTAGTATGGGAGGTAGCTGGTGGTCTTGGGGTTTGGATCAGTCAGCAGTGAGCAGATAGAAAGCAGTACCTTAGAGATGGTCAGTGCAGGGCTCCATTGCTCCTTCAGGATATCAAGACAAATTCTACCGTTGCCATTGATATTGGGATGAAAAACCTTAGTCCTGAATGCAACCTCCAGCATACGGACTATCCGCCGGACCCATAATAGTTGCTTTCCAATGAAACATGTCTTCAGCAACCGGACCTGCGCTGGAGGACGTAGGTGGATCCTTCTGCAAGTTCTTGAGCTCCTTCAAGATGCGCTTGGAAGCCATGGAAACGAATCTGGAGTTTCAGATCTTAAGGTGAGGCTATGGGTTTAGTGGTGAAACGGAGTTAGTTTGGGTTAGAGGACAGTAGCAGCTAGGAATTGATGGATAAGGGATTTGTACAGTAGGTGGAAGGAATAGTGAGAGAGTAGTGGTTGTAACATGATGTTGTTTTTGTGTTGTCCCCCCCTTAACAAAGAAAAGAAAGAAGTGTTTATATAGACAGATCAAGAGGAAATTTCACTTCTGTTTTGCAATTCATTTGCTATTTCTGGATCGATCCATTACTCTCTCCAACAACCAATCAGAATAAAGCACAGTTTAACAAATAATTTTTTATGACCAAAAAGCCCTCTAAAAATAAAAAGGAAGTAAGAATCTGAAAGTATACAAATTAATGCAATTTAAAATATTTTGTTTGAATTTTCCTGAATAAAAATAAAGACCCAAAATGATCGAAAACGATAAAAAGAACGGACGAAAATTTATCCGAAAAATAAAATGAACACATTAAAATAATCTACATGTCACACAGATTAAAGAAAAAATATTCAAAAGTCGAAATCGAAATAAAATGATAATAATAAAAAAAATCAGGCTAAACGGACATTTACAGTTAAAAACGAGACTTCAAACTATACCGAAAAAATAAAGCGAGCATACCGTCATAATCTACGCGTCATGCAGATTCATAAAATGATCGGTAAGAGGTGAAAACTTGAAATATTTTTCTCGCTATTTTTCGTACAATATCGAATCGCTTTTAACGGTCTGTCTATAAAACCAAAATATTTTTATTATTGACATATAAACAACTTGGAGCAGTGCAAGAAAATAGTAAACAGATAAAAATGAATGAAGTGAAATGTCGGGTATTTTACAACTGAAAGACGATGCAAACTTTGATTTAAACTGACTTTTTTCTGATCAACTTAAATACGACTAATGATGCAAAATGTGATGAATGAAGATATTTACTAATGATCGTGACCAAATAACAAAATATGGTATGAATGTGCGACTGAAAAATTAGGGGCGAAATTAAGGGTGCAACGGTGTGCCTTGATGAATCAGTCTTCGAGAATCCACAATCAACCGTACTTCTGGCTTGGGAGACTCAAGACCTTAATTGAGGCGCGACACCTGATGCTCTTGATTCAGACCTGTCTCTTGATGAATCAGTCTTCAAGAATCCACAATCAACCGTACTTCTGGCTTGGGAGATTCTGAACCCTAATCGAGGCATGACGCCTGATGCTCTTAATTCAGATCTGTTTCCTGCAAATGAAATCAAAGAAACAAAAAACACACACTTCGTGCTTGATTAGAAGTTAGTGATACATAGGCTAAGAATGTTCAAAATATTTGACAATTTCTGCATAGTCAAAGCTCGAAGGTGAGACGTTAAAATCGACCGTATTTAGTGACCTTGACTTTTGTATAAAAAATGCAAAAATGCAAGTGGGATCTTAGGTCAAAAATTGGGGTACAACACCCATTTGCATAGCATGTTGGCCAATGGCCCACGTATTTTGAAAATGGAAAATTGTTTCAAAAGGATAATAATTATTAAGTTCTTATTTATTTAAATAAGTTGTTATTAGTAAAAAAAAGGGTGTGATGTGCAATCTGCTGTTTTTGAAAAAGTATTGTTTTAATAAAGAAAATAAATAATATATTTTATAAAAAACGTGATATGTCTGTACTGCAAATGAACTTGTTTGTTTTCTCATTATTAAAGGATGTTGCTTTATTTATTTTTAAATAGGGAAAAAGATGTATAAGATATTATTACTGTTAAAAGATTATTTTATCATTAAAACATTGTGTTTGATTTATAAATTGTATTTATAAAAAAAATTAATTAAACGGTACAGAAAGGCCAATTGGGCCAACTGTACTAAAAAAAATTCGGTTGTAAAAAAAAAGATGTTGGTGGGATGAACAAAGGTTTTATAGCGCAAGGCCCAAATAATGGATGCAGTTTGGGCTTGTTCAATTTTGGTTTATGTTTCAAAACTTTTTTGTTGTTTTACTATTATTAAAAAAAATTATTATCTTTGTTTTTATTGTAACACAATTATTAACCATTATTTATCATGATTGAAAATCCTTTTTAAAAAAAGTCCAAAAGATTAGGCCCAAGTCACGAACTGTTACTGTACCAATCAGAGGGAAAGATACGCATGTTTTAAGGGACAAACGAATATTGTTCAGATTGTAGAAAACAAACAAAATCAATTTTGTTACAATTCAAGTCTCAGAAACTTAAAACTAAATCCAATCTAACAGAATCTGAAAATATTATTAATAAACAGAATCAAATAATTGCTTTATAAAATCTCATAATCATTATAACATAAAAATCTGAAAATGTACAGACGTATCTGATTGAAGAACAAAATCAAATCTTTGAAGATTATACAAGATGAAAGCAATCCAAATCTAAACAAAATCTGAAAATTTAATATATTACAGAATAAACCCAATCAATTACAATAAACAATGGTCTAAAACCTAAATCAATGCTAACCAAATTCGTAACAACGAAAAACCCTAGCTATATAAGAAAAGGGAGAAAGTCAGAGAAGGGGGTCGAGGGTTTTACAGGAAATAAAAACGGAGTTTAGAGACGGAGAGACCAAGAATTGGGAAGATCCCTTTGCTGTTGAAGATCCAGAACAAAAGTGATTAGAGTTTCCAAATCGGAAACCCTAATCACCTTTGGACGCTGCCATTGCTTTCACATCCACCGCCGTCTTCAATCATTCACCGTCACCATATTCACAAACCTGCCGAATCCAAGAAGAAGAGGAGATTAGTGCCAGAAGGTTCAAGGAAATCAGGATCGGAAATCGCTCGAAAGAGGTAAACGGAACTTAGCTCTTTGTTTTTTGTTTCTGCATTTTGCTACTATTATGATTTGGGGATGGTGAAGGTTGAGTTCACAGTTGGGGAGATAGTTGGTTTGAGTGCCGCCAGGGGGGGTTTTGTTTTAGGGTTTGATGTTGGAGAGGGTGGAAGAGAGAAAGGGTTGGAATGAAAAGAGAGAAGACTAATGAACGATACTGTAATGAAACAAAAAATGAAAATGTTAAATCCATTTCAATCTCATGCGCGCCGGTCCAAAATAGCTAGTGTACTCCCTCAGATCTCATCCACATAATTCTGATCAGACGGCCATGGGCCAAGTCTGCATCATAAGCTCCATACACCCTCGCATACTCAATCTCCTAGTCCCCTTGCAAACGCTTAATGGGCCAAGCCCATTACCTTTAGCACCCCCCATTCTACTAAGTTGCTAGAACCTAAAGCCAAATGCACCCCCCTGGTCTGAACTATATTTGGGCCTAGTTAGTTTCTTAACATACCCCCTTTATTCTACTTGTTAACTGAAAATACACCCCCCTGTCTAACTATTATTTTTTATTTTTTTTATAATTCTAATTTTTTTATTCTATTTTCTTTTCTATTATTTTTTGATTATTATTATTCTTAATAACTATTATTATTATTATTAGTTTTCATATTATGAGTATTAATATTAATTTTTATATTATATATAAATATCATCATTTAAATTATATTTTACTCAAAAAACTCATGAATATACTATTCTCTTGTATTATTTGCATTAAATATTTTATTCATGCATTAATCAAGATATTTTTGCAGTTAATACGATTAAAAAACATGCAATAAACAACAAATTATCTTTTCGCAATCAACTAATCTAATCAATTGTTTTCGCAAAAGGATTTCAAACAGATTTTGACTTACTGCGCATTTAGTCAAAATCTCCGCAATCACTACTCTCGACCAAAATGCGAGGTGATTCAAAATACGTTTGCGAACCTTAAAAAAAACCAACCCCATACGAACTACGAATTGGGACTCTGATTCCTCATAAGAGGATACGTACGCATACGATCTAAAATCGTGGCGAGTCTTTCTAATTAAAACTTAAAATCTAGTTTACCCTAAACCTAAACCTAGAGTGTAATATCCTTGTGAACAGGGTGGATGAAAGGTGCCTAACACCTTCCTTTCGTCTAATTGAGTCCGAAACCTAGAATCTCTGTCTTCAAATTAGGGTTTTTTGTTAGGTTCCCTTCCCTAGGATAAAAACTAATAGTGACGACTCATGATTAAAAAATGGGTCATTTGGCCAAGAACGTTTGGTACATGAAATACAAGGGATCGATAAGCGGGGACGAATGAACGAACCTTGCACGCCGAGACTCAGATGATTCTGAAGGTGTGGTGGTTATGGCTGCAGTAGCAGATAGCCATGTCGAATCCAAGTTCTGATTCCTCAACTCAGATTGTTTGAATCACATGACTAGTCAAAGTTGTTGTTGGCATATTTCGATGAGTCGAAGAAGAGCAAGGTAAAACCTGCGGATAATAGTTTGTTGCAAGCAGAAGGTACTGGTAATATAGTTTTTCAAATGAGTAATGGAGGGAAATCTATGATCAGAGATGTACTCTATGTACCTGGAATAAAATGCAACCTGCTAAGTGTTGGACAAATTGTTAAAAAAGGTTTTTCAATTGTTATGAAAGATGAGGCTTTAAAATTGTTCAATACCAAGAATAATTTGGTCTTGAAATATTCTCTGTAGAAGAACATGACATTTAAGACCATGATTAGTTCGACTGAAGTTTAATGTCTAAAATTTGTTGTCGAACACAAGGATAGTTAGTGGTGGCATTTGAGATTTGGACATTTAAATTTTTGATCACTCAATCAGCTGATAACTAAAGATATGGTACCTGATATCCCAAGTCTTGAGATGCTCGACAAACTCTGTGAAGGTTGTTTAGTCAGAAAGCAATCTATAAATTCTTTCGTTTCAAATGTGCCAATGAGATCATCCTGCATACTCAAAGTGGTGCATTGATATGTATGTGGTCCATTCGAAGAACATACCATTGGTGGAAACAAATATTTTGTTTTGTTTTTCAATGAGTACAAACGGAAGCTGTGGATCTATGTGGTCAAG